AATGAAATACATTTTTTGTATTCATCAAATTCTCTCTATTACGTTTATCGTTAGAATAATCTTTGGAACAAAAAAAATTCAATAATCTTCAAGAAAAATAAAACTATAAATAGTCATTTTAAAAATCGATTGATCATTTATTAATTTAATCCTTTTAGGAATAAAGATATATTTTCTGATATATTCATATGCTTATTATTTCTGTTCGATTGGTTTATGTTTCCACAAAAATATTTCAAAATGACTTTATAGAAAATTCTTCGCCCTTATTATAATGTAATATGATCGAATTTTCTTTTATTTCGATAGTTTTAGATGAAAACCTTAACCAGATTTCTTATTGAGAAGTTTCATATAATTTTTAATATCAGACAACTTGATCATGTTATGCACATATTACTTAAGTAATTTAAGAAATTAGTTTATAAAATAAAAACAACATATCCAATTATAACAACGTTCACTAGTTCTACAACACGTCTACATTATTGGATAGAAAAGACACAAGATGAATATTAAACATTAGCTCGATCTGTTAGAGATGAGAGAAATCATTTTCTTTTTAATTAGAATTTATTAAAAGTTTTGCTAGAAAACAGGTCGAAATATATTTTTTATTCCTGTCGAAAAGTTTAAGATTTATTAAGGAATATGCCGTGAAACTTGTTTCTACTTGAAGAATGCCTTAGATGAATTATTTCATTTATTTCTATTATACTAATCGATCTATTTTACTTTGATTTCGAATTTTGTAAAACTATAAAATTATTTAGTATTTGTTTGTTTAATAATTAGATGATGCTTCGTCGTATGATTTATTTATCAATAAAAGAAATGTCAACAGTTGCCAATGATGTTATTATTGTAACATCAAGTTTAACTCGTGATATGACTGGAAAAGAAGATTCTCATCGTGGACCAGCTATACGAGCTTTATGTAAAATAACTGATGTATGTTATTTTAAATATTATTTTAAAATAAAATATTTATTTATTTAACTAAATAGCCATCAATGATGCAAAGTGTTGAACGATATATGAAACAAGCAATTGTTGATAAATTACCATCAGTTGCATCAGCTGCATTAACATCATCAGTTCATTTAATGCGTCAAGGTCCTGAAGTAGTTAAACGATGGGTTAATGAAGTTCAAGAAGCTGTTAATAATGATAATATAATGGTACAATATCATGCTCTTGGTCTTTTATATCAAATACGTCGAACAGATAAACATGCTATTAGAAAATTACTTGTCAAATTTTCTAAAGCTGGTCTTCGAAGTCCATATGCATATTGTTTTCTGGTTAATATATAAATTTTCTATAATTAATTTGATGTTTGAATTTTATTTTATTTTTTTTAGATTCGTATTGCCGCCAATCTTATAAATGAAGAAGGCGAAGGGTAAAAAGAATAATTTGATATTAAAAATAAAAATAAAAATAAAAAATGAATTTATTTTTTAGAACGGATAGTCCAATGTATGATTTTATTGATTCATGTTTACGTCATAAAAATGAAATGGTTATTTATGAAGCCGCATCAACAATTGTATCACTTAAATGTGTTACACCAAAAGAACTTAGTTCAGCTGTTAATGTTCTTCAATTATTTATTTCATCACCTAAACCTGTTTTACGTTATGCAGCCGTTCGAACACTTAATAAAGTTTGTTTTATATTTTTAAGATAAGCAAAAATTTTCGAATTGTTTTTTTTTTCATTTAAAGGTTGCTATTCAATATCCAGCAGCAGTAACAGCTTGTAATGTTGATCTTGAAACATTAATAACTGATTCAAATCGATCAATTGCAACATTAGCTATAACAACTCTTCTTAAAGTATATTATTTTACTTTTTATTTTAATCAAATGATTTTATTTTGTTTTTATAGACGGGTAATGAAGCAGGTGTTGATCGATTAATGAAACAAATCTCGTCATTTTTATCTGAAATATCAGATCAATTTAAAACAGTTGTTGTTGATGCAATTAAGTAAAAAATAATCGAAAAAAATTTTTCTTTTCTTATTATTAAATATAATATTTAAAGATCATTATGTCAAAAATTTCCACGTAAACATACTGTATTAATGACATTTCTTTCAAATATGTTACGTGAAGAAGGTGGTTATGAATATAAAAAGGCGATTGTTAATACAATTATTTCAATTGTTGAAGAAAATCCTGAAGCAAAAGAAGCGGGTAAAAACTAAATAATAAATTTTATTTTATTTTATTTTTTTTCTATGTTGATTTTATTTAAAAGGTTTGGCTCATTTATGTGAATTTATTGAAGATTGTGAACATACATCATTAGCGACTCGTATTCTTCATTTATTGGGTCGCGAAGGACCACGTACAACAACACCAGCAAAATATATTCGTTATATTTATAATCGTGTTATTCTTGAAAATGCACCTGTTAGAGCTGGTAAGATTTTTTGTTGGTTTTAGTTCCTTGTTTTGTTTTATTTTTATTTCTAATTAATTCATATTGTAGCTGCGGTAAGTGCATTAGCTAAATTTGGTGCAGCATCAGAAGATTTATTATCAAATATTTTGGTACTTTTACAACGAACAACACTCGATCAAGATGATGAAGTTCGTGATCGTGCTACTTTTTATTATCAATTATTAAAACATAATGATAAAGCACTTAATTCAGCTTATATTCTTAATTGTAAGTATAAAAATAAAAATAAAATAAAATAAAATTGAATATATAATATAGCAATGAATGTATCATTACCATCACTTGAACGTCTTTTACATCGTTATACAATTGACCCAACAACAAAACCATTTGATGTTCGATCTGTACCTGTTGAAGCAGTTCCAGTTGAACAACCTAAAGGTTCAATATTCAAATTAATTTTATTATTTAAATAAAAATTGTCTTTTTTTTTTCCATATAACAGATATGAGTATCGGTGTTGGTATTTCACGTCCAGGAACTGAATCAAAAACAAATCGAGAAGATACTTATAGTGGTAAGTTATTGAAAATAATTTTTTTTAATATAAATTCATTTTTGTATATCTTAGAACAATTATCTGCTATACCAGAATTTGCCCATTTGGGTCCAATATTCAAATCATCATTACCAGTTGATTTAACTGAAAGTGAAGTTGAATACGTTGTACGATGTATAAAACATGTTTTTAGTCATTATATTGTTTTTCAAGTAAATATTTTATTAATTATTTGTTTTTTTTTTTATTATTCTAATTATATTTTTCTTTTTGATTTAGTTCGATATAAATAATACACTAAATGATCAATTATTAGAACGAGTAACTGTTCAAATGGATGGATCAGCTGAAGGTTTTGAAATTGTTCATTATACTTCTTGTCAAGTTATTAAATGTAATGATACGGGTACAACTTATACATTAGTTAAATTACCTGATGATTCATCAGCTGTAACTGGTACATTGGCATGTACAATGAAATATACAGTTAAAGATTGTGATCCATCAACAGGTCTACCAGATGATGAAGAAGGTTATGCTGATGAATTTGTGGTTAGAATTTTTATTGCTTCGATTATTTATTTTCCATAGCATTGATTTTGTTTTTTGTCTTTTGTTTTTAGCTTGAAGATATTGAAATAACAGTTAGTGATCATGTACAAAAAGTACTTAAACCAAATTGGTCTGCTTCATGGGAAGAAATTGGAGCTGAAAATGAACTTGAAGATACATATACATTATCAATTCCAACACTTGAAGGTATTATTGAATTTTTATATTTTATTTTTTTTTTATTATGATCCTACATTTATTATAGAATGTGTGAAGAAAATAATAAGTTACATGGGAATGCAAGCATGTGAACGATCAGACAAAATTCCAGAAGGCAAAGCATCACATACACTTTATTTAGCTGGTGTCTATCGTGGTGGACATGATGTACTTGTTCGAGCAAAAATGGCATTGGGTGGTACAACAGCAGATCCAGGAGCACAAGCAATTGCCATGCAATTAACAATACGTTCGACAGATGAATCAGCTGTGCAAGTTATTGCTTCAGCAGTCGAATAAATAAATAAATAAATAAATAAATAACAAAAACATTGATACATTTTATTAGCATACTTTTCTTTTTTGTTGTGTGGGACTTTTTATCGATGTGCGAGTGTTATAAACTTATCATTCTCTTACTCTAAATAATATACACAGAAACATACTTTTTTCATCGATTATTATTCCATCATAGTGCCTAATTTAAAAAAAAATCAATTATTTTGACAAAGATTCGAAGCAAGCATTGACCAAGGCTAATAGAGCATATAACTTTTTTTTTCTTACTAATTTAACTTTTCTATCCATCACTCAGTAACATAAAGATAATGTTCTATTGGACATAGTGTTAGTTGTTTTTCGTGCCAATATCTAAACTTAAATGATAGATGACTTTCTCTTGCATAAAAAATACAAACATTGTGCTTTTTAAAAAGCTGTTTCAATCAACCAATCCAAGTTGAAAGAAATTGAAAAGTATGTATGACGATTAGTATTACTACAAAACTGCTGTCAATACTATTTAGCATGTTTCTGAAGAATATTGTGAACTGATCGTTTAATCATTTATGTATATGTTGTAGGCAAAATTGAAATTCAGGCAAATTTTAATTTTGCCTAGACATTGCTTGGGCAGAATTGAAACTTCAATTTTTCATGGGCAAAATTAAAATACAGCTAGGAATAAATTCATACAATCACGTTCTTTATCAAAAATAAAATAGACTAATATGGGTGAATAGATTAAAAGATTTTGTCGAAATGTATTCTCTTGGAATTGTTTAGTTAAATGAAGAAATATTTTTCAATAATAAAGTTTTTCTATTCAGATTTTAATTTTTTCATTGTATGAATTTATTCCTAGCTGTATTTTAATTTTGCCTAGGCAAAATTGAAGCTTCAATTCTGCCCAAGCAATGTCTAGGCAAAATTGAAATTTTAATTTTGACTGGGCGAAATTAAAATTTCAATTTTGCCTAGGCAAATTTTAAATTTGCCTGAATTTCAATTCTGCCTACAACATATATTCATTATCTTTTATCGGTTGTCGTTACAGGTGTAACACATAAAACTGCTTGCATAAAAAGATTAGCATCAATTCTTCTTGGCTATTTTCGATTTAATCAATTCGAAAAACAAAGCTTGCAAAATTTTGTCTTTCGATCGGGCTAATAGTAAATAAATGAGATCTTCTGTATAGAAGCGAATTGCAAGACTTTATTTTCGCTTTCGAAAGAAATTTTGATTATCCGTTCTTAAGTTCATCCCGTCACAAAGTACGGACTTTTACTTCGCACTTATAGAAACATCGATCTTCATAAATGCTGTGTTTCGCATTGCATTAAATAGACTGCAACAGACATACGACATCTATTCAGACGCATAACTCGACATATTGATAGTATCATACGAAAAAGTTATTGATCGCGTTCCATAAAAAAAAAACTACGTGAAGAATTATATGTGATATGATAATGGACGAAAGCAAGAATCAAACGAGTTGGGAACATGATGCGTGAACAATCTATATGAATACTACAAACGAAAAACAGCTGCATTTCTGCGGTTGCTTGCTCGCATAAAGTTCCATTGATCAGATAAAAACTATGATCTAATCGTTGATAAGGTAGTATGACGTGAAAAATTATAACCGCGACGAACTAACTGATTATTTCGTTTGTTATGGATCCGAGAAAAAAAAGGACGTCACTAGAAAAGAAAATAATATTGACCGAATTAAATGCGAGCACGAAATGATACGTATCAATTGATTGCATATGCGCAATATTTACATGTGATTCGTAGATTCGTTTTATTGTTTCTGTTTTTCATTAATCAAGGACTGACTTAAGTTTAAAGAGAAATACAGATGATATTTCAATTCTTAATAATCTGCCATTCTTTTGTTCATGGTTTATTCATATAAAATTAAACTATGAGAATACAATGACTACTTGTACAATGAATTAGTATGATCGAAAAGCGGCATTTGATTAAATGACGAAACTTTATTTACTATAAAATTCTAAGAAAGATAAGAAAAAACAAAGATTCTTTTTATATTTCTGTTCGATGATCAGTTACTTTATATAAAAGAGTGACGAAAAAAAATTAAGAATGATAAGATTAACTTTATAATCTTGCTGATAATCCAATATCTCTTCAGTAGGCGTAAATAATATCGATAAACGAAACATTTTAAAACGTTATAGATTGAGCTTATGAAGTGCAAGATGTTTGATATGTTGAAAACATCATCGAATTAGACAAAACATTTCAATTCAATTGTTTTACTATCAACAAATCAAGTATTACCATATTCGTTTAGTTTTAAACAAGGAAGTGCAGATAAAACAGTTTTACATTATATTTAGACAATAAGAATAGACAAAGAACATGAAAAAAAAACTTATAGAAAAAAAAAGGAAGAAAATAAATATTTATTGCAAAGATTAAGGCCGATTCGGTTTTGTGCATTTCACTGTTTGTTCGACTTGACATACCGAGAAGCACAATAAAAATAGTTCAGACTATATGTATATACACAAATATTTTAAACACCAGCAAGTCCTTTGAGTAATGCCGGTTCCAAATGAGCGAAATCAAAATCTTTAACAGGCTCTAAAATATTGATAATGAATTGATTAAGTTTCTCTTGTCGGAAACAATTATTTAATGGATCATAGAATTGTTGTAGACATGCATCACTGCATTGACTTAATAATTGAAACCAATCTGATAGTAAATGAAGTCTAAAATATTATATTAAATAATGATAAAAATAAAACAAACAATAGTTCAAGACATACTTGCAAGCTAAACAGCACCAACTTTGAAAGCGACCATCTTTACCAAATGTAGAAAGACCTTTTTCAATTGATCGAACTCCATTTATATAACAAATAATAGTTTTTTCTAATTTAGTACGTTGCCATTGGGATCGACGTCCATCATATTCATCACAAACTTTAACTGAATAGAAA